TTTCACCAGTGATTGACTATGAATTGAAGTTTGTCAAAATGCAGCTTTTAGTGAAATCGATGTCACTATGACAACAATAAACAAAAAAACTTTCAAATCGATTTAATCCGAATTTCGCGGCGCGATCTAGACCTTCTACTGAAAATCCGACACCAGAAACTTAACGTGTAGTGTTTAGCAAATAATCTTCGTGAGAGGTAAAAAATTCTGTATGTTTGAATTGAAATAAAACGTAAATATATTTCAAACCTTATATTTTCAAAAGCCGTGATAAATTATTTAATGAACGAGTTGTAAATAACTAAAATTAATCTTAAGTAGCGTCAGAAGGCTGTTTTATATCATATTTCGATGCGTGGCTGAAATTTAGGTGTATTTTCTTTCACTAACCTTTTTTCGCACAGCTTCGCACCACCTGTCTAACTGCAACTTTTTTCTAAATTTTGACTTCCAGCGCTTTTCTGTACATCTCTAAAACCACTCGACAGTTCTCCATGATGCATATATTAATGTCAGAAACTTTCATTGAGATCGATTCACTGCAACACCTTGAAATTTCAAGACGAACCTAGCCTACGAACCGACCAAAAATACGCGTTAAAACATTCACTGTATTGACGTTATGCTAATTTTTGCAAAATAATGCTGGCAATACATACCTCCGTGGCTAGTACGTTTTTAGTATGACTTTTATTGCGTATTTTGAGTATAGAACATTGATAATGTTCACGTTGAAATGTGTGGTGGAGTTCTTAAGAACTCGTTGAAACGTATCCGTGCGTTCTAGATCGGCGAATTGGAATTTGGAAGTGTTCAGCTGAGTGTTGGTTTTTAAGGAAAGGGGAAAACTGGAGTACCCGCAGAAAAACCTCTCAGAGCAATGGAGAGAACCAACAACAAACTCAGCCCACATATGGCGTCGACGCCAGGATTCGAACCCGGGTCACACTGGTGGGAGGCGAGTGCTCTCACCACTGCGCCACCCTTGCTCCACAAGGAATAAGGACGCGTACTGTCGCAATTTGTAATAATCATCGCACTTTGTAATATCCGTCGCAATTTGTAATAAATTTATCGCACTTTGAAATACCTGTCGCAATTTGTAATAAACCGTGTCGCACAGTTGTAATAAAAAAGCTGTCGCAATTTGTAATAACTGTCCATCGCACTTTGAAATATACAAAGCTGTTGCAATTTTGTAACAATTCCATCGCACTTTGTAATAATGTTTTGAGAGTGATTCAACGTACTTCGCCAACATTAATATAATGCCAAAATATGAATGGTACTTCGTAAACAAAGAGGATGACGTCTCGATCTGCAAGCACGTAACTTACAAAATTACTTTTATAATTTATATCTGCGCTCATTCAAATGTTGATTAGTTGTCTGACGTACGAAATTCTGTATTCTTAAACCTTGCTATTGTATTAGATGGTTTGCATGCAATGGTTACCTGGGGGGTGTACTCGATCCCTTATCCCTTATGTGGCCAATACGGGGATGTGCCGCTGGACAGAGCGTTGTCAGAGTACAGAATCTAGACACACTAGACACAAACGAGCCATTATTAAAAGGCATTTAATTTCCACAAATCGTAACATCCATCCTTACATCATTCAAATAAGGACACCAGGAAAGCTTTCCTTTTTAGATCTGATAACAGGCCGACACAACACTGTCCTTGTCTAACGCGCAATCTTAAAAGAAGTAATAGTGTCTTCTATATTTTGGCCAACTTAATCAGACGAGGCCTGTAAAAATTCAAAATGTAATTTACTGCAAATAAACAAAAAGGTCACCAGTGGCGAACCGTCGCGATCGAACCACAACAGAAACATGAACACACATTCCAATCATTCGCTGGCCGATACCTTTGTATGTACCTGTTTTTATAAAACTCACTTGGGATCATACGTGGAGCCGGCTGGCCATTTGGTCCGTTATTCTCTATTGATTTGGTCCCACAGAGAAGCAAAAAGAGTATCATTCCATCTTAAAACAATTTTTCTCTATGGAGCCCTCTAAAGCAAATACCGTTGGGATAGTAAAAATTCTCCTTCCCTGTGTACAACTCGTAAGACCTTGCAATTCTTCCGAGCGGGTTCAGGTCTTTTTGCACAAAATGTAAAGGATAATAAACCAAACCATCCATTACTACTTGAGTTACCCTATCTAAGGATCAAACCAAAGACACAAAGCCAACAAGGTAAAAATGATACCCTATTTAAGGTTCGAGATCCTCAGCGGTACTTACCTACCTAGCCCATACATGTATATGGGATTCCCCCCCCCCGACTCCGAAGACTTCAAGTGTCACGTGGCAAGCAAACATGGATTGGGACGACGAATTCCAGGTTATTCATGAATTTTCTGTTGTTAAATGTTGCTTTTGTTATTTAAATATTTTTGAAGTCAAATATATGAAATGACTCATATCTTTTTTTTTTGGTGACATCTCACGGGAGGTTTCAAGTCTTTCATAAAAGCGATTCTCGTTGGTCACGTGATTAATTAAAGCAGAAAGATTTATGTCGGAAGACATGCATGTTTCACCAAAGAAAATAATTTAAGTTTATTACAAAGTGCGATGGACAGTTATTACAAATTGCGACAGCTTTTTTATTACAAAGTGCGACACGGTTTATTACAAATTGCGACAGGTATTACAAAGTACGATGGATTTATTACAAATTGCGACAGTACGCGCGTCATTGGCATAATAAAAAGATGAACTAACCCGCTGTGACATTGCTCCTTGAGCCTGAGAGCAAGCTTTCCAATTATGGCAAGCGGAGTGAGCCGTGAGAGCAGGAAAAACTTCCTGCGTGAGAGACTGACACTCGTCTCTTTTCGCGTGCGTCTCTCGCGTGAATTCTCGCGACTCCCCAAATTCACCATTTTCACACAGACCATAGTGCACCTTGTTAACCCCCCAATATTTTTCGGAAGCATTGTTTTCAATTTCTCCTGGGTATTACACAGTCGTCGCAACAGAAATCGAAGACAATGGTTATGAGTTTTTTTTTTGCGGCGGAGGGGAGGGGAGGGGGTTAAACAAGGTGCATTATGGTCTATGTGAAAATGGTAAATGGAGAGCTTGCTTGCGGGCTATAGCTTCTTTGAGTCCATGCGCTCTTCCTTTGACATAGATTGCTGAGCACAATGTAGCACTTTATAATTTTAAAGCAGTCTCGTTACTGGTGGTTCTCATTGCCGATAACCTTTTTCATTTATGTTATTATTTTTTGTAAATAAATAAAGAAGTAAAAAAGGTGATATAAGCCCACCAATAAGGTCTTACCAAAAAGGTGTCGACTCTCAAAACGACTGTTTTTTACAAAAATTAAGTTTAGTAGCAAAGAGCTACCTCCTGGATGCACTACTAATACTAGTAAAGAGAGCGGAGGGGCCCAAATTGCATTAGTGTTTGCATGTTTGTTATTGTCACCTGCCCTCTTTAATCTCTCTCTAATTGGTAACCATACGGACTGAAATTTCTGCATGTAAACCCAACGAAACAGTTGTTCCGCCTTCTAGGATCTTCCCTGTTCCATGCATGCAAACAGCCCAGAAACTGCGGTCTGTTGGTTACTTGAGTTAGGCCCCGCGAAAAGGAACCCAAGCAATCAATCCTCCCTCAATTATGATCGCTATATTTAACAATTAGTTCATGCGTCAGCGTGCGTATGTCGAGATATTGAGCACGCGGGAAGTTTGGAGAGTACGAAAGAGGCGTAAGAGTTCGCCTCGTGCAACTTTAGCCTCTCGATCAATGCAGCAGTTAACTTAAAATTTTATTATGGTAGGGCGCGCTCAAAGCAGTACGCGTCAATGTTTACGTGACTATATATTTTTTTTCCTCACAGTTAATCTTGTGTTTTTATCCTGAAACTGAGAGAAAGTGTACTCTAAAATGATTGTAAAATCCATATTTAGGTGCCGGAAAACTATTAATTTACCGAAAAATTGTTATTGAGAGAAAACAACTTTGCAAAGAATGATCTCACGCCATAGCTCTCACAGCTCGCGGAGATCACAACAACAACAACAACACTCACCTCTTTTCCTTACTATCGGTTAACAAATTCAAACGTTTCCTCTTAAATTTCCGTATAAAACACACGGTAAACGCTTCATTGTATATTGCTGAGTTATGGATGCACTCAGGAGACTCAGGATTGCTAAGCTCACAACAACTCGAGGAATAGGCCATTTTACAGTTATGGATGGAAGCGAGGCTGAGGGTGAGCTTGTTTTGATACAAACCTTCCTGCATTATTATGTAAATCAAGTTATTCTTATGCTTACTAGTATTTTTCAAGAACAATTTCCCTAACAAAGCAAAGAAGGTTTGTATCAAAACAAGGTCACCCTCACCATCGCTTCCATCCATAACTGTAAAATGGCGTATTACGAATAGTTTATTGACGTCATCAGCGTGCTCAATAGGAATATGAAGCACGCTCGCGCTATTGAATTTGATTAGGCGAATTTTCTAGCTATGTTATAATAGTTCTTTGTCATCTACTGGTGACTGAAAAAGCAAATGTTCAGGATTGGAAAAATTTCGTACGAGCGCGAACCAAGATTGTTTTGTACTACAATGTTACCTTTTGCTTAAAGTTAACACTGCAAAAGAAATTTTCAACGTAAAATTGTTGTGCTTGTTAAGTAGTTATAGTCTGCTGTTTCCACACCTTGATAATGTGCGCACGCATTTCGTCAGGCAACGTTTATGCGGCAGCAGCTTGCAGCTTCTGAAAAAAATTTCAAAGCGTCGCCCGCGGGCAGACAAAACGAAAATTGTCCTGATCATGAAATTCGCTTGCAAGCTTAGATTTGAGCCATAAATATACAGATACTGGAAAAAAATCGACTTTGCAAACAGTGAACTTTAATGTTTCCTTAATTCAATCTTGGTACTCCAATTCAGGTCGCTGGACTCCTTACCAGTTTTTTCTGCCAGCGGACTACCTTCGCCCACAACACTGGAAACTATGACAAGCAACAACGATTCCCCAATGTCCGGTCTCCTCCTTCTTCCGAGCCCGACCATGGAGCGAGCTACTTCATCAACCGGAAGGCTTAATTCTCGCTCAAAAGAAGTTTTCTTAAACACGCCTTCGCCGCTGCGCAAAATGGCCAGTCAGTTATCATCAAGTTTTCGTAGTTTTCGGTCCAGCAGCGGAAATGAGAACCACCAGCACCATCATCATCACCATCATCACAGAGGATGCCTTAATGGTAGTGGCAGGGACAGATGGAAAAGTAGAACCGAGTTTATATTGATGCTGATTGGTTATACGGTTGGTCTTGGTAATGTGTGGCTGTTTCCTTACTTGTGTCATAAAAACGGCGGAGGTAAGATAACAGTGATTTACTCGTACCAAAAAATAACCAACTAAAGTTTCATAGTCATCTATAGTTTTCACTCAAATGGCTTTCAACAATAGGACTATCTCGAGAAACAAATCAAGAGATAGCCTACAACAGTAGTCTCTATTGTTTCCGTTTGCTTTCCACCCTAAAAATTGCACATTCCTTCTCCTCCGTCACACTAAAAACATTATACTTAACGCAAAGTGTCTTTAATTATATCTTCACAGCTTCTTTCCTTATCCCATACGGAATTATGCTGGCACTAGAGGGCATACCATTATATTACATGGAACTATGCATTGGACAACGAATGCGCAAAGGCTCCGTCGGAGTCTGGAGCGAAATTTCACCTTACCTGGGAGGGCTAGGGATAGCATCCGTGGTGGTTTGCTTCTTAGTTTCACTGTATTACAACGTTATTATTGCGTGGTGTGTTTTCTACTTTTTCAAGTCCTTTGAACATCCTTTACCTTGGTCTTCATGTCCACTCGAGCCAGTAACAGTCGGTAATATTACTACAATGGGGCCTGTGCATGAATGCAACGTATCCGCCTCTGCAACAACGTATTTCTGGTACCGAACAACGCTACAGATATCATCAAACATTGAGGACAGCGGTGGAATCAACTGGAAGATTTATGCATGCTTAATTGGAACATGGGTCCTTATTTGGCTGTGTATGATGAAGGGAACCAGGATAACAGGAAAGGTAGAAGTACCTAACTTAGAGAGATACTACATAACTGAATGGGTGCTGTGAACACCTTTCCTATCAGGCGACTCTGTTGCACAAGACCGGAAATCGTGAATGTATTTTCAATTATTTTTTTTTTTTCATCAATTCATTTGGAGATAGCAACATCCTCAACAGATATTAGGGAGCTTAAGCAACGACGACGGCGACGGCAACGAGAACGGCAAAAAATAAGTAGGTTTGGATTTGCAAAACAACAAACCTGCACGTGCATCACATTTCTTTGCCGTCTTTGCACGGCCACGACGTGGAACTTCTAGGACGTGAACGCAAGACACCGATTTCCTTTTTTTTCCTGAACTTCAATATAACCCCAGAGGAGTTCCTTAACTTTAAACAAATTGTGTGAAATGGAGCAAGAGTAACGTATTTTGAAACGGCGCGAAGTTGCTTCCTAAGTGGCGTTTTCGCTGCCGTTGCCGTCGTGGTTGCTTACACTCTCGATTACTGACGATGGTGGAGGTGACGGAGGGAGTGGACTGAGAAAAATTGTCCGTTTCTCTTCTCGGAATGAAAAGACTATGAATTTTGCTAAAAATTCTTTAAAAAACGTCAGAACGAAAGGAAATGAAAAAGGACACAGATTATTACTGTTGGTTTCTTGCTGGTTGCTGGTGTATCTATATCTTTTATATTGATGAATCATATCTGTGCTTTGAAAACGGAAGCGGGTGTACCGTGACGAATAACTTAGTAACAGTTAGGGGATCTTATTACATTTTCTTACTTGATCTGAAGCTAGAGAATAATGGAACCGAGAGAGAGAGAGAATTTCACTAATCAAAAGTTATTTTTAGAGGATGTAATTAAACGGAAGTCTAATTCCTGAGACGTGTGCATATTTTAATCAATTGTTTGAAACGTCACCAAGTCCTCGCGTGACTGCCTTAAAGCAAACAAAGCAGAATATTGTAATGGTGACTGTTGAATTCTCTCTTGACAACACTGAATAAAAGTTTGAGGACCTCTCCGGAAACCAACTTTAGATTAATTTCAAGAGTTCACTTGGTCTAAAAATAGTTCGCTGAAATTCACTTATCCCAAGGGCTAGAGTGGGCGTTTCCCTCTCAGTTCCACCATTTTCTCTTGTCTGAAGCTAATATACCAGCCTCCATTTTGATTTAATATTTTCACAGATCGTATACTTGACTGCCACGCTACCTTTGATCTTGTTGATAATATTCTTCTTTCGTGGAGTTCATCTGAAAGGATATCAAGAAGGACTGGCTTTACTTTTTATACCTGAAGTAAGACGTTATTTAATAAAAGAGCTCGTTACAAGGTCAAAGTAGACACAACAACAAACAAATGATACTACACACACGCTAAAAACACTTCTGTCAGTCTTGAAACTTTCAGTGGTACCGCGCACGAGGCACTATTATTCTGCAAAAGAAACCTTGAACTAATCTATGTACATGCCAAGTTACTCTCTACATCAGACTCGTATACCAAGTGTTTATCACTGTGGTATTTGGTGCTCGGACTTTCCTTGAAACGAGTCTGCCTCCACATCAAGCGATAAATGGATTCGAAGAGAAGCAAAGTTCCATGCAAAACATGGAAACAAAAACAAAACTTTCGTAAGGTACTAGTTTCAATTTTAAATCCCCTGCAATTAAATTGAGCAAGCTCTAACTTGTTAAAGTTGTCTTTCCTTATTGTCAAAGTGTGCGTTGGGAAAACGTAATGTTTCTTCTTTTTCCGTTAGTTTGACCGTCTCAAGGATCCACTTGTGTGGCTGGATGCTGCAGTGCAGATCTTCTATTCTCTGGGTGTGGCCTATGGATCATTAATAGCTTTCTCCAGTTACAATCCTATAAAAAATGATTCAACAAGAGACGCTATAACAGTTTGCCTCATCAATTGCGCTACTTCGATATACGCAAGTGTTGTGGTGTTCGCTTTCATAGGTTTTCAGGTATATTATAATTTTGCTTTTCTGCCCCTGGGCCTAACAATTGTACATAGTGCGTTTGAGAAATACCATAATATCTAGCTTTAGCCAAGGCCAGTAACAATTATTAAGTGAAGTTTCTCCATTAAAAGAGTTTTTGCTAGGGTTAAACAAGTTTGGCTTTCATGAGTTTCAAGGTGCAAGAAATTATCAGTATAATTATAGCACACAAACATTGTCTCTTGGTAACTTATCCGTCCTATCCATTTCTGAAGTAATACTCACGGGTTTCACGAGTTGTATGCACTATTTTTCGCCGAGAAACAAATTTAAACTTCAATTTACCTTACAGTAGTCCGTTCTTTTACCTTGCATTCGACAACAAATCCGTTAAAGGCGAACAAAAGCACTCTTCTTTTTTCTGAGCCTGCGATCACTTGAATGCCATGTGATCTTTTTTTTTAGAAGCCCTTTGCGCGCAAAAAACACTTTAAAAAACACGTCACCTCAAGCAGTTGTACACTTGAGTCTGCGATACAGACATGACACACTGGTCAGTGGATTCTCTATTTTGACAGCTCTATTTTGATCATAACATGGATGCCCAATACCAAGTTGAACACAATTTGTTCTTGCCTTGGATTTAAAAAACATCCGCTAACATGAAGGGGCGGACGTTCGGACAGACAAATGGACGATTTTGACAGAACAAAAAATTCCTGGATGCATACATAACTAAATCGTCTTACCCTTGATGCGCCGCTGCGCGCGCTTCGCGTGTGAGAGCTTCACTACTACCACTGTTGACCCTCATAATAAAACTAGTAATAGACGACACTATAGCTGTCCCTGCTCTGTATATTGTCGGTCAATAGCATTCTTGGTCGTTGTGTAGCACTTTGAAATATGCCCATTCATAATGAAGATTTTCATACATATTCCATACAATAGGTGAGATATACAGAAAAAGCAAGGTTCAATGTACAGTTTCAGTTCGATTTACACAGTTTTGATCAAAACATTCTCAGTTTCGAGAGTAGTTTATTCTAAACAATAACAAAAGATTTAATTAGAAATTGAATTTTTCGCTATTTCTCTTTCACTTTTTACATTCAGTTCTTTTTTTTGCCGGAAAGTAAGCCTTAGAAATTAAAAGGACGGTTGATCAATTCACGCTCGCGCATTCTAGTCTTATTTTAAACTTTATAACGGAAGAACATCTGCGAGCAGGGAATAAGTGAGCACAGAATTTGATTGTCGGCGAATTTCTGTAATTGTCCATCGTTCTGCTGGTGATAAGCTAGCCGTTGTTCACTCGCCTTGCTTGTTTGGGGCTGAGTCTTATTCCGGTCAAAGAGAGAGAAAGTGGCAAGGTTTCCAATTAAAGATTTGTGTCTGGCAATTTATCCAAGTGTTCATATATACACAGTTATACGCACCTTATAACTTCATCTGCGCTTAACGAGTGTCTTTTGGTCCATCACTTTCAAAACAACTGCTCCCCAGAATGTCACTGATAACACGTAACACAAAAAGAGTATCGAAGTATGACTGCACATTTGACTGCACAATAATTGTCGCAAAATCTAGCTATTGTGTGTTTTCACATGACGTCATGGCGGCCATATTTGTGTCTCAAAACAATGAAACGGGGGCCATGTTTGTGTCCCAAACTAGGCCTTTGGGAGTTGAACTCTTTTCTTATGTAAACGCTTTCTTTTGTTCCAATAAATTTGCATAGATGCTGACCAGGTGAGTGAAAACACAGAATTGTAAGCGGCCCCTTGGGGATTTTCTGTCTTTACGTCATCCTAACCATTTCGTACTTGCGGGCGCAAACAATAGAAACGTTATCATTACCTACCGATTCCTCGCGGCCCCTGTTCAAGCAAATCGAAATTTTTCTGGCCTACTGACTGTATATTTCATCTTTAAGTACTTTCCTTCATATACACGCGAGTTACTAGAGTGCCTCCTTGGGATTTCGCCTTCTGGGTGAAATCCTTTCGGGGGAAATTAAGAAAGCATAAACATTCGGGTATGTCGATAGTCGTAAAATCTATTATATACTTTCCAGCGAAACCTAGGTATGCTCAAAATTATGCTCGGATGGAGTTATTATGCGTATAATGTTACGGGTGACGGATCCCGTCTAAATATTGTGATTAAATTCCACCGTTTAATGTCGAGAGTCAAATAACGAAACTTCCAGGGCAAAGTTTACTCTCCTTTATCTCGATGGTAAGATGGCCTTCAGTGTTAAAAGTGTTATGAATGAAGAAGCTGACAAAGGAATCCAGCCAGAAGGCTAAAATTCGTCCACATACCGGTTTTATATCAAGACTAATTATCCGTTTCTAGTAAAAATTCAGCCATTAAAATGGGGGTGTTTTTTGGACAATTTCCTCAAATTTCGTTTCAGCAGGTTAAGTTTTTCTTGACAATGAATTAACACCAAACAAGGAAGACGAAATATACTTCAAATATTCTGCTGTGCTAACACTTTTTTTCCGTTGTCCAGGCAGAAGACAAAATGGACCTATGTTTAGATGATCAAAAAGTTCAGGCTTTGCGACTGCTTAAAAGCACTGGAGTCACCAATTTACCGAAATCAATAGACTTTAACGGAATGGATGGTGGATTTCTCCGCGAGATGCTTTACAATGCGTCCAGATTGTATAATGAGACGCTCATTACTTGTGATAAAAAGAAGTTTTTGAAGGTGAGACAGCTTACCGATGTATATAAATCTCTTTACTTCATCTACACTTCATCTATGTTCACACTCTATATATCCCATAGCTTTTTTGCCGGAACAAAAACGATACAGGACAGCGCTTCTTTTCACACATAAGAACGGTGATACCGGCGCGAATCCGGAAGGCACTTTGCGAAACTATGACGGTGACGGCGACGGCAACGGTAACGTCAAAAAGAAGTAGGTTCTGTAAGCAAAACAACAACTCTGCACGTGCACCACGCTTTTTTGAAATTTCTTTGCCGTCCCTGCACGACTATGACTTGAAATGACCAAATTGTAAGCTTTTTTGAGGACGGGAACGGCAAGGCGATATATTCTCCCCCGCTGTCTGAACTCGGCCCAGCCCCCTCTCATCAGTTCCAACAAAAGTTTCCTTCTTTTTAGTAATTGGGCGACTTAGGATAATCGCGAAATGGTTGAAAAGGATGCGGAGTCTATCTTTCAACGAGCTTTTAATGGACGTCGCCGTTGTCGGATCGTAAGAGAACGGAGCGAGGATGCGCCTCGCCGATCTCTTAAAGGGAAGATTCGCATATCGGATAGGTGTTCACTGATACCATACTGGAAAGCTTTTTGTGTCAGCACGAAAAGCTCTACGGTATAATGTGAATATAACCTTAGTTGTCATTCGTATCCTGGCGATGCCCTTCAAAAGTAAATCAGTCATTGGTAGTTATGTATGGAGCGATTTTCGTATGACCTTGAAATGAAAACGCACCAACAAAGCAGAAAAACAAACGAACGGAAATAGAGCGATTTGATTGGTTTTGTCGAACGGATACAAACGCGCGTGGCTTTTGGTTGGTTTAGTGAATGCTCGGGCGAAAAAACTTCATACCCGAGAACTTTCTAGTAATCAACCAATAATTCGCTTTGACATCATACTGCAACAGGATTGGCCAATCGAACAATGGCTTCTTTATATTAGGGTTTTCTTTGGCGGTAAAACGAAGAGGCCATGTCTTGATCTTTTTATCCATTGACTGCTAAAACAAATAACGAACACTTACCGAAACCATTTTTAAAGGTCATACGAAGATTGCTCTATTCGCTTGTTAAAAACGCTTTTAGATTAATATGCATTGTCAACCATACGGCCAAGTAATGTCCCTGTTTTACCGTGACAGCGATGCTAAATTTCCGTCGTGGTTGAGCCGTTCGCGCCAGTTTCTATCGGAGACGTAAACAAGTCAACTACGCGATTGTTAGCATCGCGAACGACTTTATACGTGCTAAAAACCACGCCCAAAAGCTAATAAGCCTTTGCTAGCAGGGCATTCCTGGGTATTCCTGGTAGAATCAAACGATTTTTAGGAATCAGGTGATCGAGAAGCACGGGCATTGTTTACCGTTTGCAAATCTGTTAGGTTATCTGGAAGATATTAAATACCATTCACAACTGATAAATAGAATCAAGAGAAGTCGTCTTCAGTCATGAATGTATATAAAGCACGGCTGAGTTGTCAACTCTAGTTTTGTCCGAATAGAATAGATCCAGGGAAAAGTGGTTTCCACAATATACAATAAACTAAAGTTCGAGTTGTTTTAAGTTTTAACTCCCGGTTAGGCCTTGCGTTTTGAATATTACAAATATTGCTGCTCGTTTTCATAAGCTGTGCATAAATGTAGTTTTGGCAGATTTCATTCTTTTTATGTTCTCTCATTCATTGCCGGCGGTATTATCAAAAAAAGGAAGGATTTTTTTTCTTAAATCCAAACACTCAGAAAGTAGTCTATATTCCCTACGAAACAATTTTTGAGGATCTGATCATAGTTTCTCGGAATATCTATGAATTCTTCGACGAACTGTTGAGCAAAACTTTCAGGGTCCAATTTCCAATTCTAGTCCCAACGAATTAGACAATTGCGTTTTCCGTTTTTGCCTTCCTAGGTTCCTGGAGGACAAGGTCTGGCCTTTATAGTATTCACCGAAACGATAAATAAGCTGCCTTTTGCGTCACTGTGGTCTGTTATGTTCTTCTTGATGCTCATCACCGTGGGTATTGATACCGAGTTTGGAATGCTGGAAGGCGTGGTCACCCCGGTCATTGATCAAAATCTCTTCCCTAAGCTGAAGAAGGAATACATTTCAGGTTAGTGTTGACTCTCGCTCCCTGATAGACTATTCACAGTCTCCTATTTTTCTGTAAGATCGTCGAGATCGAGCGCTTTGCGCTACCAGCGGCCATCTTAGTTTCAAATGTTCCTAGTTTAGCCTGAAGATGAGCGTCAAACCTACTTAGGGGCGGAGGACACTCTTCGCCCACTTGTATAAAGCCGAATGATCCCCCCACCCTCCCCTCAATACACATGAAACCATGATAGCCGCCAGTTCGTACCGGTTAGCGCTCGATTCTGACGATCTTTTGAAACCATGCATAGGGGACTGTGAACAGTCTAGAGTCCTGAATTTTCCCTTGGACTTTCCAACACCAGTATCGAATGTACAGGGCTATTAATATGGGCGTTGTAAGACGAGCAAACTCGAGTCACAAGCTATAGCTACGATGTTTATTAGGGAAGTGATTTTCTAGTCGCTCTAAACTGGTTCCAGTGGAAGAAGAATCCGCTGTACCGCTCTCTTAGCGCTTTCACGCTGTTTGTGGAGTGTTGAGTCATTAACCCGTAATTAAGCCCAAAGAATGATCAACAGCAAATTTGGTGACAATAATTTTAAAAGGATATGATCACACAGGAGCGTATTTATTTGATACTTCAACAACTTCGATTTCCCCATCTCATAATTCTATCGAAAATGTTTAGGAGCAACAAATGAGAAATAAATATATAACGATTTTAAGGTAACACATCCACTTAGTGGTTCTTCGTCTACCTAATTCCTGGTCCAATTGGAATTTGGAAATGTTAGTTTTTGAGAAGAGGGGAAAACCGAAGTACCCCGAGAAAAACCTCTCAGAGCAAGGAAGAGAGCCAATAACAAATTCAACCCACATATGGTGTTGACGCCGGATTTTCACCCGGGCCACACTGGTGGGAGGCGAGCGCTCTCACCACTGCGTCACCATTGCTTTCCCCCAAAAAATTAAATTCGGGTTGAAAGGATAACCCATTTTTTTTGGTTCATTTAAGGTATCATCTGTTTGGTGATGTGCATTATGGGTTTGCCCTTAGTACAGCACTCAGGGGAATACTGGATGCAATTAATAGTAAACTACTGCTCCAGTATTCCACTGCTTATCATCGCCTTGGTGGAATGCATCGCTGTTTCGTATATTTACGGCATCGACAGGTGAGAGATAAACACAAGGCTTCTTACCTTGTTTACTATTTACATTAACCTGAGATCAGGCTCTATTTTCGTTTCGCTTTGAAAATTACATTCCGGCGGGCAAGGCGAAACGAAAAGTGCCAATTTCAGCGGTAGCCGTTAGAGAGAATGTATGAGAACCGCTCAAATTGAGCCTGATCTCAGGTTATATTTACATATACAACTGCAAAAAAAAACCGGAGATTTTGGTTGGTTACCATTTACATGAGTAAACCGGTCGGTTGACAGTTTGGGTAAATTGTAAGCAAAATTCAGGACTGGTAAATTTCGTCCTGGAATCGCTTACATTTGTACAAATTGGTTCCATTTACCGAAAAACACCCGCCAAGGCCGGAAATTTTTATCAAACATGGCTTTGAAGAAATGGAACACTAATTTCCGTTTGGAAGATTCCATCCGGAAAAACAGGACCACCTTATCAGATGAGTTCCGTTGCTCCCGGAAATCTTCTGCCGGAATGACCCAAAAAGGCATGTGTCATTTACTTTTCGACCAGATTTTTCGCCGGAAACTTTTAGTAAATGGTAAGCAACCTTTGGAAATTGGAAATTGGAAATTGGAAATTTCGGTGAAATGCCCATCAATGAAGAAGGTATTCCATTTGAAAGGGGTTCCATCCTTTCTTTCCTTGAGTGGTACCGACAGGGCCGCGAGATAGCCTGAAACTGGCGAAGCCTCATGAAAACACGGTTTCCAGCGGGAAGAGAGGACTACCTTTTCAGAATTGAAGTTCCACGTCCTCCGGAAAGAATTCAGTGGAAGGCACAAAAAATTGTGTGTTGCATTTACATTCCAACCCGCTAGTCCCGTTTTCTGAGTTGGGCATTCCAGATAGAAAGTCATGTTCCATTTATCGACATTCACCCCCCGGGGTAAATATAGGTATGCGCCACCCCCAAAGGGTATGGTTTTTGGGCCTCTTTGGCTTGAAAACAGGTATACACTTTGCCTATTTTGGACTGGAATCGGGTATGCTGTTCAAGAGAAGTACGAGAGCGTATGAACCTACTGTTATCGTTCAATTCCAAATGAATAAGAACGAAATAGAAATCTGAGAACTGGAAATACATTTGAAGCATTATTTTGTTTGCGATCTAATTTAAGTAATGATGACATAATTTCTGCCTAAAGGTCTGGCCTGAAAACGGGTGTGGAAAATGACATTTTTTGGTCTGAAATAGGGTCAGGATTTGGAGGACCGGGCGGCACTCCCCCACCAAGAATTTCCAGGAGTACCCCCACCCCCGGGCATTTACCATATCTTTATCACGATCTCCAAGCCCTTTTCGCTTTCACCGTCTTAACTTATCTTTTGAACTAAATTGTTTGTTCCGAATGACAATTATATTCGAAATTTTCGGAGAAAATATTGTTGAATGGCAAGCAACCTTAACTAACATATCATACTGCAAGTAGCACTCTGGCTTTTTCCTCTCTCTTGCTCTTGCACGCCATTGAACTCACCCTAGATCGTTAACGCTATGTAGGTTGCAAAGGTTTCGTGAGAGAGCTGTAAGTTCCGTGTTTCAATGCTACTAAACTTACGGTAGTTTTGAAAAACCTTTAATGACAAATTTCTACTTTTAAACAGATTTAGCGACGACATAAAATACATGACGAACAAACCGCCTCGTTTTATTTGGAAGTGGTGTTGGAAGGTCATTTCTCCGGTCACTATATTGGTTGTACTTTCTATGAGCATTAAAAGCATGTCACAAACTACAGCACAGTACGACGTATGGGACCCTGTTAAGGTAGGTAATTCTAAGTCAATAAACCCCTTGAGAGGGCCGTTAGATCACGGCATAACAGGGAGCTGAAGCAACGACGACGGCGACGGCAGCGAGAACGGCAATAAACCAGTAGGTTTAGATTAACAAGATAACAACTTTGTACGTGCATCACGCTTTTTTGTACATTTCTTTGCCCTCGTTGCTCGACTACAACGTGGAAATGCCTAATTTCACGTTTTGTCGAGGACGGGAACACAACAACAATTTTCTTTTTCTTTTCCTGAAATTTGATATAATCCTTTAGAATTCAACTCCAAAGAAATCTGCCAACATTTGACGTCGCTGTCGCCGTTGCTTAGGTTCCCTATTAATGTTCACGATGGAAGGAAGGGAGAAGTGACAGGAAGCTGCACATTGTATTGCGCATGGGCAATGTAGCCCGCCGGGATCAATAAGGCTGAAGGGAAGCTTCCTTCCGTGGCACATTTGGGAAAATTAACTGAAATACAAATTGAATCGGGTTTTTCAGACCGGGCCGGAGAAAAACCTCTCGGAGCAAAGGAGAGAACCAACAACAAACTCAACCCACATATGGCGTTGAACCCGGGCCACATTGGTGGGAGGCGAGCGCTCTCACCACTGCGCCATCCCTTGCTCCCTTGCTCTCTCTGAGACACAGGTAAACCAGGGCTGGTGTCTTGCATTTGATCGAACTGTCGCTAATAAGTTTCTATCCTTTTTAGGGTATTACAGTCTCCATTCCTTATCCAGCTTGGGGAAAATTCTTGGCGATATTGATTACTCTCATGTCCATATTTTTTATTCCTGCGGTGGCGTTTTTACGTTACTTCCGCGTGATAAGCTTGGGAAAACCGGAACTGCCGGCTGTGGTCTTGGAGGGAGACGACTTCCCTTCGAACGATTTGAACGCCTCAGAACTCCAGCCTCTTCATAATGGAAAGACCCAAAAGGAAAAGAAAATGCGAAAACTGAGTTTTGCCAGGAGAAAATTTAGACTTGAAGATAAATTAGCAACAGAGAGTTCGGACACAAATAAAAACGGTCCACTGAACCGTGTTATTACCGCCAATGGACAGGTCTACCAACTGGTGAATCAGCACAATGGAGGTGCGGCAATGTTTATTTGACATAGATCGAGCAACGCTTGCTCAATGTTAATTTAATTTTTATGAATATCGTCTACATGAAAATTGCATAATCTCGCGACAACAACCATACTAACTGGATCGTTATCCGATGAAAGTTCAGTGTCTGTCAGTCGATATCTCCCACACCCTGGGCGTTGTCCTCAAGTGTGTATTGGAAGATTTCGATTTCATTAAATTTATGGGTCTGTTTTACCCATGCATTGTACTGATGCGGATATTTTGAAGTCTAGAAAAGTGATAATCCGAATATGTTGAATTTGTCCTCGGTGACTATTAAAAAGTCGCAGGATTGCTGAAGTCAGGCTATTTGCTTGGTAGTGCTACCTAGTGCAACCCTAAAGCCCGGTTGATAATAAAATTGTCTTTTTATGGAAAACAGATCACAAATTGACCGCTCAAGGGATGAGATATCTCTTCTAGAACTTAGAATGTATCATAGTTTCCTATATAACGGTTGTTGATAATAGACTTACTTAAAGAGTCAAATCCATTTAAAAATGTGGTGACAATGAAGCGCATATCTCAAAGTTCTCTTGGATGTCAGCAAACCAAGGGCACATGTGCAGCGTGGTAATCAAATTAAGTCAAGATCATCCCTCAGACAACATTAACCTCCTTGGCGCGATGGGTAACCCTTGCCAAGTACAGTCGTAGATGCAGAACAGCCAATCACAAATCATTGATTTGTCGGAGCATCCTTCAGTACAGCGTGGCCATCAGCGCCGGAATCTGCCCGGAATAGTCACGTTTGGCATTGACTTACGCATAGGACTTTCCATGAAAAGAAAACCTTCGCGTCTTAGTGGTAGTCTAAGTTAGACAAAATAATAATCGACAATAATGTTATTAATATGAGTGATTCAAATTAGAATCCAGATAAAGAGTTGGACCAAATTTTCTATTGTGAACGAGTTTCTATTAGGCCATCCCAATAAAGTGTTTCGTTTCCCATCGCCCGAAGGACCCATTTTTTTGGAAAAGTAAAAAATAAAAATCCAGAATCACTTGTAAAGAAGCAAGTGCTTTAATTTACAAGCACGCGATCTTGTCTTATTAACACCAATTGTCTTAAATTATCATCGATACTTCGTTTTTGTTGCCGTTTTAGACATTTGATACTCCTGTTAACATACATCTTTTACCATCTGATTATATCTTGCAGACTAAACGAGAGATTTAATATGTAATCATGTGTTCATTCTTTTTTTTTTTTTTTTGCCCGACCGACCTACCCACCTTCACGAGAGGGAGGGCGATAGGAAATGAAACATTTTATTAGGATGGCCTTATATGTACATTGATCTTTGAGTTTGGTTAAATGGACTATATTTAAACAAGTTGTGCAGTGCCATTGGTCACTATTGTTAGTATTATACATTACAAGAGAATTTTGTTTCAATTTTTCATGTTTATTTGAGCTAATTTACTCATATTATAAGGAAAACTTTAGACGGCCACTTTCAACCCAGAGTCACACCCTTCTTGGTGATATGATAGGGGTAACCCAAATAGTCAGTGTTTAGATGAAAATGATGTTGAGATGACGTTGGAAATCGCTTTAGGTTTGAGCATCAGGTTTGAGTAGAAGCTGTGCTTTGTGATTGACAAAGATATGATGCCATTATTACCGAAATTTATGGCATCTATAGGTTACAATTTTTTTCCATGGTGCTTCGCTGCGCGCGCTTCGCGCGCGCCGGAGCTCCGCAATAAATTTTTTCCTCTACATTTTAATTTCCAAAAACCCTTAAATTCACCAGATTCACATTGACCATAATGCACCTTGTTTACGCCCCCTTGCCCCACCAAACGTTTGCATAATCTTTTTGTCCAATTTCTCCAGAGTATTACGGTCGTACCAAGAGGAATCCAAGACAATGGTTATGCAAAATTTGGGGGTTAAACAACGTGCAAGAATCCAACTGATCCAATATTTTCCAATTTTCCAATTTCCAGTTTTCCAATTTTTGACCAGAATCGCCCCTTAACCATCAGGCTCCCGACATGATATCATGCGTGTAAGAAGGAAGCGGGTGTGTTCGATCATTTAAGATATCTTTTTCCCTTTTTACGGAGTCGGCTTCGTAAACGGAATCTAAGTCCTGGTAGTTTTTCTCATACACTGCTGTAAATGAACTGGTCAACTAGTCAACTTTTTGTTGTGGTTTTAAGACCCAGTTTCGTACATAAAACAAAAAACTGGTGATTGAATATCCTCCCGGCCAGTTTTAAACTTGAATGAAGAAGCTTAAGCAGGGTCGCATATCGGTCTATCAGCATCGAATACTAGTTATCTTTAGTTAAAATTCAATACAGAGATACAAGGTAATTTGTACCTCCGCACACTCAAATGTCACACGGACAAATTTTGGCGTTTTTTTTTTGTATAGCAAATATGAAATAAAATACAATAAAAAATTCATTTTAGTTAAATGTATTTCAGAATGTCTTGAAGAATTTGATTATTCAGATACCTTGCTCCCTAGGCTTAACAAGGAGTACTTCTGATGTGAAGTGAAAAGGGCGGTCATTAGCTTTAGATCTAGAGATGGTCTGAATTCGTGACAAGATTTTGTCATTTCCACGTTCTTCGACCCTGCTCATTTGAAATCGAAACAGGAGCCAGAATTTTAAATTTCGAAAGAAAAATGTGAGAGATATATTTTTTTCTGCTTTAGCTCTATAACAAAAAGAAGGGTCATGATTCGGACGATAAATTTCGGAGAAAAAAAAATTAGGGACGCACCCAAACCTCGAACATTTTTATCTCAGAAAACTTTGACAGCGAAACTGAGCTACATAATTACTTTCGAAACAAGAAACTAGTTGATGATACAATTTTCAGTTTCAGTGATGAATTATTCTAGGTATGCGTCCACTTAGGCGTCCATTCTCCATATTTTTCTGTGCTGAAAACATTTAGACAAAACATTTTTGCCATGGTCAATACTTTTTTATTAAAATCTGAATCATTGGATAATATTGATTGCCGGATTGACCTAGAGATGCGATCATTAATCTCGTAAAAGTCATAGTTCCATGCTATATTTCCTGGGTAGTTATTGGTATTAGCTCTGGAGCCAAAGGGCAGAAAGGGCTTGTCATGCCCAATTAATATAACAGTGTCATTTCATGATGAACAGTTGAACCGTCTACATCCCCAGGCTAGCCCTAGGGGCATCTAGTTCAAGGAAAGAGCTAGCTGCCTAGAACACGCTTGTCTAATCTCCAGCATCCATTATACACCATTCAGTTTTCATGAGTTAAACTGCTGAAGATCATAAAAAGGCTTAATTATGACTAATATGATCTGAATCTTTAACACTTTTACTACTTTCCCCAATGGGTTCGAGGAGGCAGTGAAAAAGAATACACCTTCACGTTGTCTTAAAATTCGCTTTTTTTCTTCCACCTTTAAGTTTAAAACTAAAGCATGGTTATTATCCCTCACGTTCACCTTATTTTGCCCTGCAAAAGACAACAAAGTAAAGTGTAAGTATTAATCTTTTGGAAACGCACCCGTAAGGCCTAGAAAAATAATTATTACTATCTAACACAGGTTGGCGCAATGATATACCTTTCCCGTGAGCAGGTTATCTTCGCGCCTGGATAATCGCGCGATACCCCAAACAAGGAGAGCCAGTGCCTCGCAAGCTAAGGTAGGTTAAGTGCCTTGCTTATTCCTATAGCAGCTAAACAACAACTTCTAGGGAAACCGAGCCAATTTGCACATTTAACAATTAATAGGTCTCATACGAAACCGGCTAAATGGAATTCCCCTCGTTTATTTCAATCATTCTCAACGGCGAGAAAAATTGTCATTTTCAAATTAATTTTATTTATCCCCCTGACAGGTGCTCATACAAGGATAATCAATTAACAAACACTGACATATGTTCCGTGAAACTCTGCATGTTAAAAAGCAAAATATCGCACGAAACCTAGGTGGACCAGGGCGACGGAGTTGAGAGAAAAATTTATCCTCGCGAATTCTGACCAGTGAGTCGAGCAAGAGAGCAATTTGAAACTGAAGCGTAAGTATAATTATTTCGACAAGGCGAGTAGTGTATAAATTAAAAGATAGCATTTGCTAAGAACAGATAGCAACTACTTGCCGCCGCTTAACATTGTTTAAAGAATTTTAAAATTAATTTGAAACTCAGTTTTTGTTTTGTTTTCTGAGACTTTTCGTTTGATTCTGTTTTTTTTTTCTGTTTATAAAACGAAAAAAAACACCTGCACATTTAAAGCAAAAAACATAAACTTGGTTACGTTCATTAAGTTAATCAGTCCCAAGTATAGTATTGCTCACGATCAAAACAACAGGTTTTACTTGCCGTAGCTATAATGTAACCGATGCACTGGTGCGTTGCTCTAGTGAGCATCATTTTCACTTACTTTTTCTTGCAAAAAAATGACGGCAAATCTTGGCTTGAGTACTGCCACGCTGACGGTCTTTACGACAAAGTTTAACATTGAGTTGTGGCTTTCCTCAATAAGCTACCTTAGCTTGCGAGGCACTGGCTCTCCTTGTTTGGGGTATCGCGCGATTATCCAGGCGCGAAGATAACCTGCTCACGGGAAAGGTATATCATTGCGCCAACCTGTGTTAGATAGTAATAATTATTTTTACAATAGGCCACAAGTTTCATAAGAAAAGAAGTCGCATTGTTCACTTGTCAGTGATATGATGTTTCGTTAACCAAAGATGCTTAGCTTATTTAGGTGATTAATGCAAGTCCTCCAAAATCATGCTGATCAAATTGTAAACAGAATATGCGAACAAAGGAAATTTTTAAAGAAGCTTTGCATCTCCATATTAACAAAATCGTGACAACAACAAAAAATGGATGATTTCAAACGAAACGTTATTATTTGGCTTGGATAAGCAAGGTCAGTCGTCTTTTGTGGAATTTCCCTCACTTTTTTTCTGAAATGTGGAGAGTAGCTTGAGCCAGGGCTGTTCGCGATACAAGCTTGCAGCTCCAAACCCGCGGGGTATTCTACAGACCTAAGATGAACGAATGAAGTAAGTACAACATTTTCCCTGCATAAAACATCGCCTGTCGTCGAGTTAATCAAAACTGAGGCAAGTAAGTGGAAGTAATGATCGATTACTGACACTACGTTATATAGCTTACTTTTTTTTATAACAGAGGCATGTTTCACCTTTTATTGCCATTATCGCCAAGAATCAACTTCATAATCAATTTATCAAACAGCAGTATAATGGTCAGATAACGCCTCGACTTTTGCATCGGTGACGCAGCTGAAGTGTAGTGTTTCGCGTAGTGTTACGCGAAAGCGGACGTTTCAATAGAATAGAAAACTTTTAATTTGCAATTAGCTCATTCAATGAGGTAACATGTTCTCCTGATTTCACACATGGGTTACGAAATGTCACTGTACTGAATTTTACTTAATGTTTCCAGTTTCCCTTTGACTCGGACGAGGCGGCGAGCGCTAAAGTCAACGTAAACAGTCAATTTGTCTTAAAAAAAGATGACACACCGTCATTTTACCTAACATTTTGTGTTTTTATCTGCTGCTAAATGTTCAGAGAAGAATTGCGATAGTTGATTCCTCAAGAATTACACCTCCCTTTCAAGCCTTATTTAACGACCAACAAAGAGCTTGCTGTTTTTTTTGATAAAAAAAAAACTGGTTAAATGAACGAAAACATTAAATATCATGTTAAATAGTACTTCCACATATTGTTTACCGCTATCATGTCATTTTCGTAAAGTCTTTAAAGCAAAAACTTGAAATACAAGAGTGAGCGCAATAACGCAAATAGGCGGCCGTATTCCGTATGTTTCTTAGTTATGAACATTTCTTCTCGTTCCTAGCGGAATAAACAAGAGGTATATCATGTGGCAGCCTTGAAAAACAGATGATATCTATTATGCAAC